CCGTAAAGGTACTAAGCTAAGGCGGAGCCCTAAAGGTATCTATATAGTAATAGACGTAGGGTTGCTACTAGATACTCGCCTACTTAAATAGCTATATCGAGGCGAGTAATAAAAGCAAAAACGTCTCGATAATAGGCCGTATTACTAATATATATAACTAGGCCTTTGCCCTTACTCTCCGGAAGGTCCTTATTAAAATACCTAACTTACTTAGGCTTAAACTTATAGGGCGCGACCTCCTAGCTAAAGTCCGTAACTAGAGTATAAGGAGGACTAGCGTATTATAGAGTATATACGTCGGCGGGCTCGAACCTCGGGTCTATAAAGCCGGCCCTATCTTAGGTAGGCCTAGGATTGCCTTTAGCGCTAAGGCCTCTATAGGCGTAGCGTTCCGAGCTAATCTCTAGTACGATACTAGCTCGAGCATTCCGATTCTAATTAGCTAGCTACTTAGCTCTAGTCGTACCTTAGCTAGTTCGGCTACGTATCGCGTAAAGATTTCTATATCGCTACTACCCCGGTAGCCTAGAATAGTTATTATTCGGTCGTAGGGCCGCTAAGGCAGCGTTATTAGACTATATTACCTCTACTAGTTTTCCTACTAATGCCTCTAGCTTATTATATCTAGTATTGTCGTTGTTAGTGCTAGCGGAGGTATTGTTATTCCTATTATTCCTAGCATTAGTATTAGTATTAGTAGTAGCGTTGTTATTCGCGGTAACCTCGTCGTTAAAGTGTTTAGTAGACTTAGTAATCCTCCTTCGACGTCGCTATTCGTCGGTAAGGAACAATTTAGGGATACTATTCGTATCGATAGTATAGCGCTATTCTAAGGCTGTTAGAGGTAGTGCTCTACTAGCTTCTATACCCTTATCTCTACTTTTGTTCTTAGCTCTTATAGCCTCCTTACGGCCTTCGTTAAACGCTTGTTAGATTTAGGCCTATATCTCGATCTCGTAAGCCTCGCGCTGTTCGTCTAATGCCCTCTATAGACGTATACGATCCGTAGCTCGATTATTATCTACCTTAGTACGTTGCTCGGCTAGCTACTAAGCTACCTAGGACTTTATTTGTCTAATTTTATCTCGCTATTTAGCGCCGGCTATACCGTTTGCCGGTACTATAGATCCTAGAGCTTACTTACCCGATATATCTTCTCCTTCTAGCTAGGAATCCGGTAGTAAGCTAAGTATCGAACTACTAGATACCGAGATTAATAAGCTCTCGCGAGGCTTAGGAGGCAGGTCGTCTTTACGAAAGGCTCCGAAATTCTTAAAAACGTTACCCGTTAGTAGGTTGATTTTAAAAGACTCCCTATATCTATTAGGCTTAGCTTAGCCTAAGTTCTCGTCCTTAATTAAGCGACGGACGCCCTACTTCTCTAGTCGTAGAGGGATATAAACCTTGCGGCGACGTAGCTAATTCTCGCCCGCGGCCGGATTCTCGTCGGTAGACTTAAGGTATTCTACTAGCTACTAAGCGAAGTATAGGCTATCCGACTAGTGCGAAGTTAGACGATATACTTGTCGTATAGCGGAAAGCGATAGGGAGTTGTCGTTAACCTACGAGCTAATAATCTTAGCGCGTATCTAAGGCTTAGGGGTTGCGTCTTTATCTATATCTAGAACGCGGGACTATAACCTTAGGCAACGTAGAGGTTTAGCCTCCTCCGGATCCTCGTACTACTCGGTAATAGCGATAACTCTATATCTAAGATCCTTCTCGAATAGCTTGCTTAGACACTACCTTAGTTTTAAGAAAGCTAATAGTATATATACCGTATAAACTAGGTAGTATCTGTCTTCCTTTAATTCGGGAAGAGTATAATCCTCCTAAGCTATAGGCGGCGGATCGTTCGGAGATTCCTAGTCCTTTAATACTATAGGCTCTAGTATTGTAACGTAGATATTAAAAGGCAGAGCGGGAAACCGTCTCGATATTAACCGTAGTTATAGGCGTAGTAGCTACCGTAAGAGTAGTCGGAACCTCCTACGTCCTTATACTTAAAAAGGGGGAAGTTAGGAGGGTTAGGTACCTAGCTCCTACTAACCCGAACTAACGCTCCTACCCTTAGTAAGTAAGGGTATTAATAGAGGGAGCGTAAAGCGCGCCGCGGCGTAGGGCTAGGTCTATCGTCGATCTCCGAGCCGATTCGCCTATAGATCTCGTATATTTCGTACTAAATTATAGCCTCTTTCTTTATAGCGTAGCTGCGGCGTTCTATAGTACGGAAAGTAGTATTAGAGTAGTTCGTTAGGATTCTCCTTCAGCGCGGAGGACTTTTCGCCTTAGAGAGGGGAAATAGTAAACCGTAGTTCGGATAGTCCGTTTAGAGACAGTTAGTACGTGTTTTTACGCTAGTACTCGAAGCGAAGCTACTATTTTATTATATATCGTATATTATAAAGTAGATAATTATTCTAAGTCTATCTAGGCTTAGAGAAGTATGTACTATAGGAGGCTAGGGCCTCCTGCCTAGCCTATGCCTATACCTACCTTCGTAATAATAGATATCGACTTAGTTAAAGAGATAGATTTAATAGGCGATACGCCTCGAGCGTCGAATACGTCCTTTATCGACCTTATAACGCCTTAGCGGCCGTTACGAGTTATAGACCTTAGATTAGAGGCATTAGCAGCTTCTTAATATAACTAGATAGATAACGACGACGCGATACGTAAGATAAAGGATAAGAGAAGGACTTCTAATCGATACGGCGATAGTAATAAGAGGCTAAGATAATATAGCGATAGCAATAAGAGGTAGAGTTAATATAGCGATAGCAACGTCGTTAAAACAGCTTCTATATATAGGCCTATAGTGCTAGTAATACGTATTAATATTAGAGTTAATCCTTGTCTATCTAGTTAACTAATTAGGCAAGCCGTCGTACTAAGAACACCCTCCTTCTTAACCCTAATCGTTACCTTAGCTAAGGCCATTCTAATCCGGAACAGGTTATACTACCATATCGGGACTCTGTTAGCAAACTTTGGTGGCTGCAGCCTAGAAGAGTGGTACACTAAAATCTTTGGACAATCGCCTCTATCTCTTGCTATGCCATGAGTCGACGTACAGTAACGTACTTCCCGTGTATGGTGGATGAGGCGAGGTCGAAGAAGCTAGTTCTAGGCTGGTTGTCTTTAGCACATGCGTTAACGGCAAGTCTGAGGGCACGCATGCAAGGGTCGGGGATACTCTTGTGTTGTGTGTTGGCGTCTATTTGCATGTCGATGGCCTCATCAAATAAATACCGACACTTTCTGCTGTCGACTATTGCGCTTGCGCGACATTTCAGCCTTCAGGGACCAGGTTGTTTTACGCTGACAGCCATGTCCTAGAGAAGTGGTATTTGCCGGCAAAGTCCAGTGTGAGAGTGAGGTGCGTACAGGGCTCTTTGTACACTTTCTCCGCACGCTTGTTTCGTTTTATGCAAGTGACAAGTAGCAAGAGGCATGTGGCGTGGTGTAGATCAACACGCTGATGCATGGCTACTACGCATTAGGGTTGGGACTGGCGGAACATCCTCCGACACAGCCTATCATCAAGGAGATGTTGAAGCATAGGTTGAGAGGTAGCGACATGGTGAGGTAATTGGAAGTCGAGATGCCTAGCGTAGCATTGAGTTCAGCTTCGCATGCTTTGAAAAACGATGTGGAAACTCCTCGGCTGTATGTCGTTGCATAAAGTACTGGACATGGTACTCGGGTTGCTCAATCTGGCTTCGCAAGCGGGCAGAAAGGCCTTGTCGTGCGAATTGCCCAAAATTGGGACAAGTCCTTCGGTTGCGGGTCAAGCATTCGGCGATGCTCGCGATAATTTCGCCATGCACTTTCTTTGTGATGGCAAGCGCGGGCGAAGAGAGTAAGCTCGCTGGCCGAAGCGACGTCTCCCGGTACGCATTGACGCCAGCAGCCTAAGCGACCCTAGGAAGGCGTAGAGCTATGCGTCGTCGACAGCGCGGCAGGAAAGAATGGCTGCCTCTTTCTCCACATTGCCGCAGTTAGTTCGTTGAGTGGTAATGGAAATCGTGGTCAGCGACGTCGGCGAGCTGATGATGAAGGGTTCAAGTCATACAGGACCGTCGTCGTAGAGGCTGGTTGCATGCTAGGGCGAGTGCGAGGCGTGGTTGTGTGTGGGCTATGCCGTGCATATGCATAATTAGCGCGGGTGAGCTGTGGAAACGAAACCACAAAGCTCTGAAAGCTTTGGTGTCGGCGCATATAATAAAGCAGAAAGTGCCCGGGATATCATACTATGATCATAGCGCACATAATCTCCCCTTTGGCTTGACCCACGAGCGCAATCCCTTACATCTCGTCCGGACAATCCTAGTGACTCAGCCACTGCAACCCATATCCGGATATATCTTCACCACTTTCGCTCGCCCTCCGCCTCTGCCGTGCTCGGGTTGCCCATTTGCAGCACCCCCCAAAAGCGCTAAACCCAAACCCGTTCCCATAAGCACCGCAGTGTCCTTATTGATTTCGAATCCGCGGAGCCCTCAGCCCATAGCAACTGCAGGCGTGCTTGAGACGCCTTTTGCCAGAGCACCAACTCCAGGACACGCCGCACATCATATCATGGCTCCCGACATCTCTCGCCTTGGGTCCAACTCGCCAGAGGGTGAGCAGATGGAAAAGACCTTACTACACAATTCGGCCAACACCGAGTGGGTTGGCCGGAGACCCAGCGCCTCCGGACGAGAAACAAAGCGATCCCGTGAGTAAAATTTATATCTTTCTGTGCTGATCGTATCTTCCCCTCCGCACGTCGGCATTCGCTGCCGTCGTCTGGATGACCAGTCGCGCGTGGTGCACAGCGGTCGGACACCTGCGGCTGAAGTCGCTTGGAGCTTCCTTCCATCTCGATTTTGCTCTGCCTTATACGCTGCAGGCATCCCATCACCACATTGTGCAATCAGCACCATCGATCTCGCATTTTCTGCCTTCCACCGCGACGCATCGCGCCGCGCCTTTCAACAAAGACTTGCAATAAGATGGCTGACCAAAAGCTCGCCACGAGCTTCACAGGCACGCAGACGCAATCTCTCCCTCCTCCATCGCTACCACTGCTCGTTGCTGAGCAAGCCCATCCTATCCCCTCCTCTGAGCAAGACAGCCAGCGCCTCATCGTAGTCCTGTCTAACGCCAGCTTGGAGACATACAAGGCTGCCCACGGGCGCAATGGCATGAAAGATGACAAGTACAGCTTGTTGAACAGCGACGAGCACATCGGCGTCATGCGCAAGATGAACCGTGACATCAGTGATGCACGACCAGATATCACACACCAGGTATGTATCTCCATCCCTGTCACCATCACAGTTCAACATTGATGGGAGACATCAGTGCCTCCTCACGCTCTTGGACTCGCCCGTCAACAAGGCTGGCAAGTTGCAAATATACATTCATACCGCAAAGGGTGTGCTTATTGAGGTTTCGCCTACGGTTCGCATTCCGCGTACATTCAAGCGATTCGCCGGTCTCATGGTCCAGCTTCTACACAAGCTTTCCATCAGGAGCACTACCTCGCAAGAGAAGCTTCTGAAGGTCATCAAGAACCCAATCACCGACCACCTGCCACCAAACTGCCGAAAGGTCACGCTGTCATTCGATGCTCCCGTGGTGAGAGTTCGTGACTACATATCGGATCTTGGACCAAAGGAGAGCATCTGCGTCTTCGTGGGAGCCATGGCGAAAGGCACAGACAACTTCGCCGACGCCTTCAAGGACGATGCCATCTCCATCTCCAACTACTCCTTGTCCGCCAGTGTGGCTTGCAGCAAGTTCTGTCACGCTGCCGAGGACGTCTGGGACATCATATAATCTACGCCAACTGCACGATCTGGAGCTGTACGACTCGCCACACGTTTGTACAAAGCATGAAGGTATGGAAATGGAAAAGCCAAGGCAAGTATGAGGTCAACACGCACTCTACCATGAGCCGTGATAACAACATCGTGGTCATGATGAGTGCGGCACGTGTGTGTTTGGCTGTTGGAGCTTGTTGGTTTGGATCACAACATCACATTCTAGCAATTGCTTTCAACAGACTGTATACTTGTGAAGCGCCATCTTTTGGTGGTGCTTTGGCACTCAACGTGTCTTGGCGGTAGCTATTAGCCTGCTGGGACTGTTTTGTTTTGACGAGTAGAGGCGGCCGTGCGTGACGGGTGGGAGAAAGATGGAAGTAGTCATGGCGTGGTTGCATGGCATGTTCAAAAGTTATGCTTGTTGGACACCAAAAGCTTCTTTGGCGGCGATGGGATGGCAGGCAGACGTTATCTGTACAACACCCAAAAAGTCTTCACCTTCATCTCGCAATTTCATGAAATCTAACGAACTTGCCTCTTCAAATCTCACTTTTCCTTCCAGATCTCATCGTCACCGTCCAAGCGGCCCAACCACACTACTAACCATAACCGCCGCCTCCCTTTCCCAACTCACACCCCCTTCCTTCTTCCCCCTCCCCCCACCAAACTTCCCTCTATACCCCCGATCCACACAATCCCGAATCTGCTCCCTGACACGTTCCCGATTACTCCTCAAAGTCCGGGCACTAACCCCCCCTCTCGAAAGAATCCCTTGCACTCGCGTCGTCAATTGACTTGCCAAACTCCTCCAAAAATACGAGGGTAATGACGAAGTATCCAGATTTCTGAGGAGGGGTTGCAGGAGGTTTTCATTTTTATCTGGGTTGGTGGTGTTCGATTTTTGTGATGCTGGTGGTTTTGTTGTTTCGAGAAGGGTTTCTAGGGCGATGATGTTTTGACATCGGGCGGAGATTTCGAGGAGGGTTTTTTCTAGTGTGGGATAGGTTGCGAGCGAGCGGTCGAGGGATGCGAGGCTGGATTGGAGGGAGGTTTGGAGGTAGGTTGTTAGAGAGGTGAGGAGGATGGTGGGTTCGAAGGGTTCTGGGTTGGTGGAAGAGGTTTTGGGTGGTGGGGAGAGGAGGTAGAGGGTTTGGAGGGCGGAGGTGGTTTTTGCTTTTGTTTGTTCGGCTTGGGAGAAGGTTTTTTCGGCGTTGTTGATGTTGCTGATGTTGGGGGTTGTTGTTAGGCTGCTGAGGCTGAATTCTCGGATTATGGTTCGGGATTTTTCTGCGAGGGTTCGTTCGTGGGAGGTGCAAAGGTCTTGGCGGATGTTTTGGGCGATTTGGATGCGAGAGAGGTCTTTGCCTTCGTTGCCTTCGTAGCTTTCTTTCAGCTCGAGAATTGTTCTGGCTGCTGGGAGCATGCTTCTGTGTCCATCCCTCCGGTCGACTTCTTCCATGGAGATTTGCAGTTGTCTTGCTAGTCCGACTGCTCTTTGAACTGCTCTTCCTAGCCTCAATGTCCGCACCATTCGCTCGGCTGCAAGCCGGACTTGCTCTGCGGCTTCATATCGCTCTACCACCTCTCGTTCTAGGCGTTTGTAGCTTTCGTTGAGCGACTGGACCTGCTCTTCCACTGTCTCCAGAATCCGCGTCGCGCTCTCGGTCTGCGTGCGCGTGTGCAAGACTATTGGCAGCGCATTCTGAGTAGCCAAGGTGTCGATGTGGGTGTCTACTTCTTGGACGTCGAAGAGGACTCTCGAAAGTGGAGTGGAAAGATCGAGAGGTGTGTCGGAGGCATTGTTAGTCGCAAGGACAAGGCTATTCGCATAGGCTGTTGGAGAAAAGTCTGGAGCTCGAAGAGCTGGCGAGAGGTAGGTGGAAGTATCGTCGGCCATTTCGAGACTTGTGCTCAGTTGAGTTGAGTTGTTGTCATGTGGAAAGAGGATTCTGAGTTGGTCCCTGCTCTGGTTCACGCCAAGCTAGCTCCTTCTGCACCTCAGCTGCTTCCAAGGTTGTATCTTGCTCCCGTTGTACTGATGTATGTTGTAAAACTTGGCCGTCTACTGAGCACATCAACGCTGCTAACGGACACTACTGAGGGCCGCTATCCGTGCACGATGTGGCTTGAAGCATCCCTGCGCTCTTGTTGCACCCCTGCTTCTGGAAGTGCTTGCTTAACATGAGCGGATCTTTGTTCTACTACCTAGATGCCTTCCTCGGATGCCCCACAGAGCGCGATGATCGTGATGAAATTCTGGCCGGGATCGTAGACCTTTTGGAACGTTGGGTGGTTCTGGTATACATATTCTGGTCACTAGCCGCCCTGAGCTCGACATTCTATCGTCGCTTCGCGAAATTATTTTCAACGAACTCGACCTCCAAAGATATAGAAGTAATGCTTCTAGCGATATTGATGTCTTCATTCGAAAGACTGCAGATGAACTTTCTCGATTGGGAGGACTGCCGCCAGTGGTATGCAAGGAAATCTGAGAGACGCTTAATGCAAAGACAGATGAGATTTCAGTTCATCATATTTAATCTGTTCATGTGTGAATCTAATGCTCTGAGGTTCCGATAGTTTGCTGGCCAGCTCGATATTCTACGAAGAAAGAAAGTCCTGAAGCATGATGCCGTCCGAAAGATCCTCAAAGACTTGCTAGCTAGCTTGGACCAAACATACGATCGTATACTGCTTGAAATCGAGAAGGATCAAGAAATGGTATCCGCAGCTGGCACAATTTTGCAATCAATTATATTTTAACACAAGGATTTTGATTGTTCTGAGTCTGATTCCAAGACGCTCCTCGTTGATGTTCGCCTTGTAGGTGAATCAGTCAAGCGTCCAGTTATCACTACGCCTTGTTCTTTCGAGAACATGATACCATCAACGTAATCGTTGAGACTATCGTGGAATGTGAATTCCGGAATCTTGGATATAGCCTCGGCCATTCCTCCGGATATTGGGTGGCACGTGGTCTCGACGAATTTCGTGGCTTTGCGCAAGCGGAGCTTCACGAGTGTTGTCACACCCATAGTGCCTACAGCGCCTGCTGCGCCGCGAAAGAGATCCGCGTTCTCCTCTTCTGAGCAAGTGACAGTGTCGCCATTTGCAAGAGAAATTTCCACGTGCTCTAGGGTGCGATCAAAGAATCCATGGCGGAAAGAGCAGCTCTCACACGATGTACCCGCGTATCCGCCTCCAACAGTAATGCCCGGGAATTCCATTACGACAGGGGGAATGAGACCATGCTTCAGGGTGGCTTCTACAAGCCTGTCCATTGGCATGTTCGGCTGGACTAGAGCGTACGGCTGCTCATCTTGTGAATTGACAAAGTTGCTCCTGTATGAGCGGTGCAGTGGCGATATTGAAATGCTCGTGCATTATTGAGGACGCGCCGCGGCTGAGCTGTATCGAAGGGTCGGAGCTTGCATAGTGGAACGATCTCAGGGGACATGTGTTTATTGCTCCCTAGTAACTGTCAACCAAAATCATGCTGGGCTTAATCATGGTGTGAATAGTATCGTGAGAGCTTTGTCGGTGCACGAAGTGAAGTGGGATTGGAGTGTCGTGAATGAGAAATGCCTTCCGTCGGCTCAATCTCGGCCATCGGCGCTTCGGCAAGCTCGCGCCGAATTCTATATAATGTTAGAATAACCCGAAAACAAGTGCTGGGACTGACCGAATCGGGCGAAACGAGAACGAGGAGAACGCGGGGAAATCACGTGCGGGAACTTCAAAATTCGCGGCTACTCCCGGGCCTCGCGGCCGCCTCGCGAACGGGTATAGATCGTCTTCCTTACGGGGAAATTACGTACGGGAACTTCAAAATTCGCGGCTACTCCCGGGCCTCGCGGCCGCCTCGCGAACGGGTATAGATCGTCTTCCTTACGTGAGCGTAATGTATTTATATAGCTCGAAGAGCTATAAGTAAAGGCCGAAGAGCTACAAGTAAAGGCTAAGGCGACGAGCCTAATCTAAAACGCCTAAAGTAATTTTAATCTAAAATACTTATAGGAATTCTAATTTAGAATACTTATAATACTAAGTACTATTTAGAACGCGTATAGTAACTCTAATCGGGAGCGCTAATAGTTAGTACTACTATCTATAACGCTTATACTAAGTTTTATTTAGAACACGCTATATAGTAATTCTAATCCGAAACGTATATACTAAGTCCTATCCGGAACGCGTATAGTAAGTACTATCCGGAACGCGTATAGTAAGTACTATCCGGAACGCGTATAGAAAGTCTAATTCGGAACGCTAATAGTAAGTACTATTAAGAACGCTTATAGTAAGTAGTACTATCTAAAATACCTATAGTAAGTACTATTTAGAACGCGTATAGAAAGTCTAATTCGGAACGCTAATAGTAAGTACTATTAAGAACGCTTATAGTAAGTAGTACTATCTAAAATACCTATAGTAAGTACTATTTAGAATACTTATAGCAAGTTATATCCGAAACGGTTATAGTAAATACTACTAAAAACGTTTATAGCAAGTACCCTATATAACGCCTACTACGAGTACCCTATAAAATGCCTATAGCGAGTACTCTATAGAATATCTATAGCGAGTAGTACTATCCGGAACGCGTAGGATAAGCCTTATTTTAAACGCTTAGTATAGTTAGTTCTATATAGACCGGAACGTTTCGAACTGTTTATAGTAAGTACCTTATATAACGCCTACTACGAGTACCTTATAAAACGCCTATAGTAAGCACTCTATAGAATATCTATAGCGAGTAGTACTATCCGGAACGCGTAGGATAAGCCTTATTTTAAACGCTTAGTATAGTTAGTCCTATATAAACCGGAACGTATATAGCAAGTCTAATCCGAAACGCTTATAGAAAGTCTTATCCGGAATATAAAAAGTAAGTCTAAGTCTAATTCGAAACGCTTATAGTAAATACTATCTAAAACGCCTATAGTAAATAGTATTCGAACTACCTATAGCGAGTACCCTATATAACGCCTACTACGAGTATCCTATAGGACGCCTATAGCGAGTACTTTATAGAATATCTATAATACTAAGAATAAGTCTAATTTAGAACGCTTATAATACTAAGTACTATTCGGAACGTATATAGTAAGTCTAATCCGGAGCGCTAATAGTTAGTACTACTATCTATAACGCTTATACTAAGTTTGTACGCCCGGATTTGATAGTAATAGCCGCGGCGCCTAGAAGTTATAATATTGTAAGGCCCGCCGTCCGCGTCTGCGACGCGGACTAGGGACTAGTGTTTACAGAACACAACAACGCGACTTCGACTTCGCGACATTCAGCAGCGGTAAAGTGCTACTTACCAGGCATTTGCAGACGCACACCCAGCGCGCATGACGGCAAATAACACAGGATAGACTGATCGACAAGCCGCGGCAATGGCGCACAACTACATCAACACGCCGGGCACAGAACGCGGTGATGGCAATGGCACCTTCATCAGCCCGGCCAAACTGGACATGTCCTTTGCCCAGCCCTTCGCCTCGCCCTCAAAAGACCCGGCTCAGGATCTCAGAAGTCGAATGCGCGGACTAAGAGGTGCGCCGTCAACCGCACGAACTCCGCGGCCGAGGACAGCATTAGTCGATAGACGTAATCCGACGGGCAAGCAAGAGTTCACTCCTCTGCTCAAGAGTGCCAAGCGCAATCAACTACTGCAGCAGAGCATTATGGAAGAAAAAGAGAACACCGATACTCTGAAGACACCTGCGGGCTTGCGCGCGAGCTTCGGTAGTAAGGCTACGCCCGGTCTGCCAATTGAGGCTTCAATGCTGGAGGAATTCACTGGTAGTTCTGGTGATCGCGAAGCTACCCCCCAAGCGCAGCCCGTCAGCTCGTCCATGGTCGACTCGACGCCCATTCCTCAGATGCCGACGCGAAGTAATGGTGTCCTCGAACAGGGCAATGTCTTGACTCTGCGCGACCAGGAAGCCAAGCTTGACCAGATCTCGAAAGACAACTTTGGCCTCAAGCTGAAGATTCACTACCTGGAAGAGGCGTTGAAGAAGAGCGGTACCGAGTTCCAGCAGCAGACTCTGAAAGAAAACGTCGAGCTACGAACGAACAAGGCGCAATTGGAAGTCGACCTCAAGAAGCAACGGAAGCGCTTGTTGGAGGCGGAGCACCAGCTGGAAGAGTACAAGATGTGGTTGAGAGACTACCAAGAAAAAGTGAAGAAGCGACATGCGAGTGAGCGCGATCAAGAGGAGTACGACCGCTTGCAGAAGATGGCAGAAGAATCGCAAAAGATTGCGGATGAGCGTGAGCATGAGCTGGAACAGATGCGAGAGAGACTCGACCAGGCCGAGATCCTTCAAGGCGCGTCAGACGAGGTGCGCGGACTGCGAGAAAAGCTCGAGGATATGGAGCAAGACGTTCGGGATCGCGAACGCGAGCTGGACGAAAAGGATGCACAACTCGAGGACTTGCAGGAAAAGCTGCAAGAAGCCGAACAAGCAGACGATCCTGACCGGACACAGCGTTTGCGAGACGACATCGGAGAACTGCAGTCAGATATCGCCGAACGACAGCGACTACTACAAGAGAAAGACGACCGGTTGGCAGAGCTGCAGAAACAGGTGAAGGCGCTTCAAGAGGACAACGCGAACCTTGATAGCATGCAGCAAGATATTGACGACATGGACCGAGAGCTGAAGGACAAAGACGATGAGCTCGATCGGAAGGACGCGCGGATCGCAGAACTGGAAGCACAGGTCAACAGCGTGTATGATCGGGAAAAGTCGACGAAAAAGCTTCGAGGCGACATGGAAGCTTTGGAAACTCAGCTTCGCGAAAAACAGCAGACCATTGACGACAGTAATGAACGACTACGAGCATTAGAGAAGCGTATCACGTCCACCGAATCAGCGCATGCTGCTGAACTTCGCCAGCGTGATGAGCAGGTCCGCAACGTCGAACGCGAGCTTGCTGACAAGGATGGCGAGATATCTGCTCTGCAAGAGCGCCTTCGAACTGCGCGTGGTAGCTGGGATGCTGAATCTCAGCAAGTGGACGCACGATTGCAAGAGAAGGACCGTTTGATACGTGAGAAGGAGGGTCTGCTCCGGGAGAAATTGCGAACCATTGAGGAGCGTGACGATGAACTCAGCGATCTTCAGACTAGGCTAAGGGCTGCCGAGAACGCTCGCGATGATACTTCATCCCAGCAGAGCCGCCGCTTGCGCGAACTTGACAACCAGGTCAAGGAGTTGCAAGAGAAGCTTCGGATAGCCGATGCAAGCACGCAGGCCAAGCTTAACGAGAAAGATGGCTTAGTACAGGCCCGAGAACAAGAGATGCAAACCCTTCAGAACCGCATCAACAACTTCCAGGCCGGCGACAGTGCCGAGTTGCGCAAGAAGAACGAACGCATACAGCAACTTGAGACTGACGTCAAATCCAAGGAGCGCGAGATCAGAGATCAGAGTCAGCAGATCATGAGCCTCAAATCGCGTTTGACAGCCATGGAAACACCTTCTAAAAAGGACGGCCTGATCAAGCAGCAGGCTGATCAAGTTCGATCTCTTCAGCAACAACTCCAGACCCTTGAACAAGATAAAGACGCTGAGCTGGATGATCTTGACAGGCAGTGCCAAGCGTTGGAGGACGAGAATGCATCACTCAAGCAACGTGTAGAGACTCTTCGCAAGCAGAGTGAGGCAGCTGATCGTGACCACAGCATGCTCGGTCGACAAGACTCCGAGCTCAAAGGCAAGAACGAGCAGATTGCTGCCCTCGAAGACGAAGTCGACTCATTGCGAAGCAAGCTTCAGGAAGCAGTGAAGCAGCGTCAGACCGATGTGCGACAACTAGAAAGAGAGCTGGATCTGGCCAAGGCTAACAGCAAAGGTAATTCCGAGGAGGGTCAGCGTCGCCTTGAGTCGATGAAAGCCAAGCTGGCAGCAGAGTACGCCGAAGAAAAAGAGGTTCTTGAGGCAGAGATCGCCCTGCTCGAATCACACTGCGACCAAGTCGCTGCTGAGAAAGAGAAGCTCAATGCCAAGATAGAAGATCTTCAGGTGGAGGTCAAGAAGGCATGGCAGTCAAAAGAGGATGGTACTCCATCCCGAGAACGAAACGATCTGCGAATGAAACTCCAGCAGGCGGAGAACCAGAAGTCCACTCTCGAGCTCAAGGTCAGAATGCTACAGATCGACCTAGACGCAGCTGCCATCACGAAGTCCAACCTCTCACCTGTCCGCGAACGTCGGGACCTGCGTCAAAAGCTTGCTGAAGCAGAAAGCAAAATCAGCCGACTGGAATCACAAGTTGCTTCTCTGGAGTCCGAGCTGCAAGATGCTCAGCTTGACAAGACCATGGCTGAAGAGCGAGGCGACCTCCATGAGCTCCTCAAATCTGCCAAGATCGAAGCCGAACAGTCACAAATCAGCCTGACTAAGCGAGAGAAAGAGCTTGTGTCTGCGAAGCGAAGAGAGAATGAATTGAAGGCGCAGCTTCAGGACGCTCATGCTGAGATTGAAGAGCTGCAGGCCCAAATCGCAGACCTGGAGAACCGCACGCAGGCCATAGGAGACAAAGCGCGCCATTTCCAGACCCAGACAAAGGAGCTCAGAACCGCAAAGCAGCAGATTGAGGAGCTTGAATTCCAACTTCAAGATCGCAATGGTAGCTCTTCTGGCCATGCGCGACGTGAAGCTGAACTCCGCAGCCAGCTTCGTGAGGCGAAGTCTGAGCTTGATCGTCTGCAGCTTGATCTACAAGAGAAGGGTGACAACTCCAGACTGCCATAAGCAATGGAACGCCAACTACGCGATCGCCTTAGCAGTGCTCGTGCCGATGAGACGTTCACGCTTCAAGCACAAAACCTTCGTGGCCAAGTCGATGAGCAAGAGGCCGAGATTCAGGCTCTGCAATCACAACTCGCCGACCGCTCCAGCAGGCTTCAGTCAAGCCTCAGAGTCGAGACCGAACTACGAGCCAAGATCAAGACCCTCAAACTACGGATGTCAAATGCCGATGTCGAAGACCGCTCTCAAGACTCCAAGGAGTTGTCAAAACTCCAAGAAAGTCTCTCATCCAGCGAAAAGCGCCACGAAGGCGAGATCAAAGGATTGGTCAAGCAAATCCAATACCTACGGGCCAAATGTGCTCGTGAAGAAGGTTTCCGCAAAGATCTGGTCTACGTCAAGGAATGGTTCCTGTTGCAGGTCAACATGTACAACGCCTGGTCAGTCTATCAATCCTGCTTTCTCTCCTGTACGCTCATGCTAACGTGTGCCATAGTAACAAGGAAGATCTCCGCCTTCTCGAAGAAATCGGTATTACGCCTGATCACTCTTTCCGTGAGAAGAAGCATTCTTTGCGAACGGTGGGACTTGCGGTTATTGCGACGGTGAGAATGCAGAAAATGGCTAGTGCTTGGAGTGGGAGTAAGAGATTGCATGAACAGCTCATGAGGAAGTTGGAGGGTATGAAGGGAAGGAGGAGTAGTGGGAAGGTTGTGAATTGATGTTCCATCTTGTGGCATCTTGGTTAGCGCGGTGTTGGAGCGATCATTGTTTGAGAGATTGGGCGAAGCATGCATATTGGAATGCATTTCGTATCGGCTGGCTTTCGTTGTGGGTAGCAGCATTGATGAGATCATGATATAAGCATTACTTCGGAGTGGAATCTCAGGTGCTTTATCTTCATGTTCATCAATTGCTGAGCTCTGATTTTTAACCTCAGGTCCCTACTTGTTTGTCGAGACACCCATCGGCAGTAGAGCACCTCTTGATTTGCCGTGGCCATGCTACTGAGTATCCTGCATGGACCGCATCGCTCGTAAACATGGCGCTGACCTCTTAGCATATATATTTATAAGCTTGTGGACGTGACATGCATGCCTGCCCCGATCAATCCTCCCATCACCCCATCCCCCTCGGCCTCCTCATCGCCTCACTCCCCTCACTCACCTCCTGTAACCACTCACACCTCACCTCGAACCTAAAACTCTCCTCCTCCATCCCTTCCCGTATACATACCTCAAGATTCCTTTCCGCTTCCTCCTCCTCTCCCCACCTCAATCTTCGCCCTCGCAAGCTCCATGTCTCCTAGGCTAATATCAAGAACGAGATGGGGATAGATGCAGTACGGCTCAGAAGCATCATGTGATCGGACTGTTGAGCAACTCTGTAACACCAACGCGTAGCGCCAGATTAAAGTTTGATATGCCACGTGAAAAATGGTCCATGCGCCGTTCGATGGGGATTTCCATGCAACGGCACACGCACGCACTATTTCTGTGCATAGTCCCAAAGCTCACGGTCTGCCGTCGATGAAAATTCAACAGCAGAGCAAGAAATACCTTCCGCTTTGTAGGCCTCCAGAATAGCATCGTTTTGACGGCGTGATTGGCTGTGGAAGAGTCTTGGCACAGGCGACAAGTGGACCCTGACAAAGACAAGCGTCCGTCTCTTTGCTCTTTGGTAGATGCGTCCGGTCTCCTTGTCGCGTGAGTGTAGGTATTGTTTGTTGGACCGCTTCGCTCGCTATCCTCACCCTCACCAGCATCGCCGCCGCCGCCGCCGCCGCCGCTCTCCTCCGCCCTGTACCGTACCGCCAGCAGAAGGCCTGAGTCGAGTACCGCTGCGACCGCGACTAGCTCCAGCTCTGTCACGCGGCTCGCGCCAATCCTCTCCCGCGAAACCACTACGACCACTACTCGATCACCTTTCCTCCTGCATCGACCCTCTGCAGCTGAACGACACATGCTGTCGGCCAGCACCTCCGCCTTGTTCGCATAGTCCGCCCTTCGAATACCTTTGAGGACAGCAGGTCTGCAGGTCACTTCGACTTTCGAGAGCAATTTCTACGCGCCAAACCTCACATCTCACCCTCCATCGCACACAGAATACGCTTAGCATACGAAAATACGATTTAGACATCTTCACTCAAAATGTCAAACATTATCGGCAACCGCAACAGCACACCTGAGACCTCGTCCTCGTCCTTCGGCGGAGGCTCCACTCTCCGCCCTCCCACTTCTCGCACGCTGGGGTCTGGCCATCACCTGCGTGCCTCTGCCGACATGGGTGCCTTTTCGGCCACCTCCCCGCTCGCTACACGAGGCATTCGTCCTGCCTCCGAAGTCTACTTCAACCAGCTGCGCGAGAGCGGCAACACCGCCAACCCTGACGACGTTGAACGTGCCGCACAGCAATGGATTGCCGACATCGATCAGTACGAGACCACTCTGGAAGAGATGGCTGCCGCGACCCTTGACCAGGATTTCAAGGACGAGCTGAGCGCTATCGAGCAGTGGTTCCGTGTGCTCAGCGAGCCTGAGCGAACTGCCGCTTTGTATGCTTTGCTTCAGCAGACCACGCAGGTCCAGATCCGCTTCTTCATCCAAGTCCTGCAACAAATGGCCAAGAGCCACCCCATGTCCGGCGTTCTTTCCCCAGCCGCGTTCAATGAGAAAGACCCGATGTCTTCACGGATGAATGATGCCATGAATAAGCTAAATGTAGAGGGCTCACGTGGCTCATTTGGTTTTGGTGCGAAGCCGCCGCCTTCGCCAGGTGCCAAGCGCATGTCCGGCTTAGACCCCAACACGATCAAGAGCATGTTCCCAGACGCTGCAAATGCTATCGAGGATCAAAAGAAGGAATTTCAGGCGACTACTGGTAATGCGCCAAAGAGCAACAGAAACAGTGCGGTTGGAGATCGCTCTTCTCAGTACATGCCTACAATCTCTGCGCCGGACGAGGACAAGAAGAACGGTGGAATTCCTTCTGGACCATGGAGGAACACCAGCGGCTCGCAGGGAGAGAACCAGCCACCGATCGGTAGGCCAAAGTCGTCTTCGAGCCAAGCCCAGGCTGCACCTATGGGCCAATTTGGTGTCAGCCAGGCTCCTCTACCATCGGCTGGCCTGCGTTCTTCACGCCCGTTCCCAATTTCTGGCGACAACAATATTCAGAGCCAGACTGCCTCCAGTGGCTTGACCGACAGCACAGGCATGCCATTGATGTCACCATATGCGCCTGGTGCCAGCTGGGCTTCCATGACCAACACTCCTATGGTCTCCAACTTCAGCCAGCAGCAGAGCGCCAATCAGGCTGACATGGTCGCAAATGCCACTGCAATGAAGCTTGCTGCGCTTTCGACTGTGAACAATCGCATCCAGCTTGATGATGTGCGCAAGTATCGCCGTGCTAGATCTTCCGAGGGCCAGAACCAGCAACAGCCTTTGTCGCCCGGTATGCCCTCGAGCATCCTCATGACCAACGAGCTCGGCCAGATCTTGACTCCTCAGCAAGCAGCTGTACTACAGCAACAGCAGATCGCAGCTCTGCAGGGCCGACGCTCTCGACCTGCTTCCCCAGGCATTGCCATTACTGGTCCTCCGGGCGGGAACCCTGCAATGCCTCTTGGCGGGATGCAGAGCAACGGCTTCCTTGCTGCTGGCAACTACGATATGTCGGGACTGCATAATGGAATGGCGGGCATGAACCTCAACACCCTCGGCGTAGGCGGCTTTGGCAATGAAGCATATCTCTCTGATGCCTCCGAAATCAATCGTGGCCGCTCGCCGAGAGGACGTCGGGGAAGCTCCAAGCCACCGGAGGATCCTACCGATCTTGCCTTGCTCAAGGATATCCCAAATTGGCTGAGGACTTTGAGGCTGCACAAATACACTGATAATTTGAAGGACATGCGATGGCAGGATCTTGTACAGCTAGATGACGCTGGTCTTGAGGGAAGAGGTGTTGCTGCGAAGGGTGCTAGGACGAAGCTGCTGAAGGTAAGCTGTGCCGGGGTGAAGTCGTGTATCATGGCGTGACTGACTGACATGGGTTGCAGGTCTTTGAGCAAGTTCGCGAAGCGCAAGCAGAAGGTCGCATGTAAGTTCAGCCGAACTTGACGATATGGCGCAATACATGAAGGCGAACAAGCATGGCGCGCTTGGTCGGCCTATTTTGGTCGTTCAGATTGATGGAAGAGGGGTGGCATCTGCGGTGCAGTCTACTGCTTCCACTTGCATGGCGTTGATCTGTTCATTAATATTTGACTAATAATGGGATTGACGAATGCCGCATGTTACGAGGAGTGAAGCGATGCTTTGCGAAAGAACGGGATTGGTAGTCATGTCGATGGAGGAAAAATGAGATGCGGCGATAATTAGGATATGTTTGAAAAGAGTACTGTTGTTTGTTCCAGCCGCCTCTCGGCGTCTTGTTCGCTTTCTTCACTACATGATTCGCAAAGGAATTGCCTTTAGATTTCGGATGCAGGATTCAATGGGCATGCAGCCGCAGCCACGTTCCCAGAACACATCGCGACATGAAGTCTGCGGAGCTGGGCAGACACTATATGTTTGGACGTAGACATTATATGTCTGAGACGTGTGGCACGCGTCGGAACAGCTTCTCTGGCATCTGTTACATGGGTCGCTTGCAGATGCCCACGATTGGCTCAGCGCAGCCCTGTGAATGTCTTGGCGCGCGAAGCGCTTGAACAGACTCCACCATTCACTTATTCGGCAAAGCTTCCTCCAACATCAAAAGAGCAGTGAATCGCCATCTTCCCTATTGTCAAACTCCCTTGTCTTTCCATTGTTCTATTCACGATGGAGCAAGTGACGCACAATGGGCCTTGGGCCTCACTCAGCCTTTATTCACCTTTGATGAAGGCTATTGTTCTTAAATGCGCTTTCTTCTTTGCTTTCGCTGAAAGAAATTGACTTACTCTCCCTCTTGTTCATATATGCGCGAAAACACTCGAAGTTCTCGAAACGATCACTCTCTCGTCGTTCCAGAAACACACGAACATCACGACTTTACGAACTCTTATCTGAGACAGCAGGATCTGTCTCTCAGGCCACGAAACTCCCACGCTCTCGCGACGACTCTTACGAACCATTTCATGCCTCGAAACTCAATCGAGCCTTCTACGTCGTTCTTTACCACGAATCTCATCGGACAAGCTTCTAGCAAGATGTCTCTCACAGCAACTCTCCTAGCGCTTGTCGCTTCGACCACAGCCATGCCGCCTGTCTCTCCGGCAGCAATCGCGCCCAGAGCAGCCAATTCGACTGGATCTTACGAACTCGTCGCCGATTACTGCGGGGATACCTTCTTTGACCAATTCACAGCCTATACAGGCCCTGACCCCACCAACGGCCATGTCGTATACCAGTCACTCGCAGATGCTGCAGATCAGAAATTGGTCGGCTTCATCTACAACGCCACTTCTGGCAACTCGACTGCGTACATCGGACCTGACTCTACCAATCCTGCTCCCAATGGCCGAAACTCCGTCCGCTTGACGAGCAAGCAGACCTTCGAGGCTGGTAGCATGGCTGTCATCGACGTTCGTCACGCACCCAGCCAATACGGCGTCTGGCCCGCGATTTGGCTGCTCGGTAGCGAAGGCACTTGGCCAGCCAGCGGCGAATCTGACATCCTCGAGTATGTGCACGAGGACTCCCACAACGGCATGACTTTGCACACAGCTCCCGGCTGCAATGTCAACAATGCTTCTCTCGCCCAGCAGCAGGGCCGCCTTCTCCATACCAACTGCAATACCGGAAACGCCGCTACCGGCTGCTCCGTAGCTGCATACAACCAAACCCATCTCCCCGGCCCCTCAACCAAAGTCTTCTCCACCGCAGGCCGCAAATTCAACCTCCAAAGCGGCGGCGTCTACGTCCACGACTGGCAGCCCGACGGCATCACCGTCTGGATGTTCCCCCAAAACCATCTCCCCTCCGACCTCATCGCCGGCCACCCCAACCCATCCACCTGGAAACAAAAACCTCTCGCCAAATTCTCCGGCGACTGCGATTTCTCTACCGCTTTCAAGTCCATGCAACTGATCCTGAACATCGATTTCTGCGGCGATTGGGCTGGGAAAGTTTGGGAATCTTCGGGTGCTGCGAACGCCACGGGGGTTGCGACTTGTAATGATTATGTTGCTAATCACCCGGAGGTTTTCGAGGAGGCTTATTTCGAGATCGCGAGTGTGAGGTTTTATACCAATAATCGGCAGAAACCTGGTGCGGGGCCGACTTTTGAGAAGAGGGACGAGGGGAATATCAACTACCCTAATATTACGCGACCTGGGTGCAAGCATGGCCATGACATGACGACGACTTCGATTTCGACTCGACCCACGCCTTCCCTCAATGCTACAGGTCCGCACAACTGCACCGGCCATCATAACGCCACAGCTAGCTACACCGCCACAACTCTCGATTCACGCACCATCTCCCAAATCCTCGAGTCCGGTTCCACGAGCTCTTTCGCCATCGCTTGGTACATGGCCGCAGGTACGTTTCTCGTCTTTGCTTTCGTTTTGTAACTTAAGGCAGAGAGGCTTGACGTTTTTAGTCTTGATCATCGTGTCTTGGACGATTATGGTGTGGAGAGGGTGTCGGAGGGCGACGAAGAGGATGAATCGCGAACGGTTGGGGGTTGATGATGATGGGTATTGGGATTGGGCGAAGTAGGCCGCGCTACTATGGATTTTGTCGGGAAGCGGTTTGGATGTGACATGGAGGTACTATGATGGAAAAAAGTTTCTTGTTTGGATTCATATTAACTCTCTCTCTCTCTCTCTATTGTTTCTCGCTTCTTTCTTTGTGTTCCAAGTTTAAGTTCTTCGCACGCGCAGAGCGATCTGAAAAAAAAGTGCGGTCACCCAGATCGCTCATTGCGGAAATAAATCACACAACAGAAATCTTTCATCATAGAGGCTTCCGTGCCATTCCAGACCCTTCATTCAGTTGCTCCCGCAGCATGTAATTGCCCTGTATCTTCCGTAGACCCCAGCGCCAAGTCCCTCATTGGCAATGGGACGGTTGACTGAGATGTCTCTTGTCTCGGGTGAGTTGACATGCGTGTTTCTGCCAGAGTGCAGGTGTGCGCGAGAAGGAGAGACATGATGAAAGGCAAGGGCGCTTGGGTGAGAATGTGTTGAGCAAATATTCGGTCGATTGGACTTTCCTCCAAGCACTCACCTGTCAGTTGCAACGGAGATCTACATAGCATCTAGCCTTTCCGAGTGAGCGCAGGATAAATTCTATGCCTTTATTGGAAGCGAACTATATTGTAGAAGATAGTTAAATATCTGGATCCGAACTTGCGCTTCTTTGTCCTCGTGAATAGGTAGCAAGATGGCTCTGTTCTTGTCAGGTCGAGCTTCCTTGAAGAACGCTGGTTTGGCCTCTAGATAATCGGATACTTTATCGCGGAGCGCGAAGACGTCTCCGTCATCAGTTGCTCGAGTGTGTTTTGGGGTCGCAGCGCACATTGGCGTAGTCTCCATGTTCTGACTCTAGCTCCTCTCCTGTCAATCACGTTCTTCCGCTTGCGTAGTAACAAAGTATTCAAGCCTTGGGGCATGTACTGCGTGATTGTAGAAGCATCGATCGGGACCTCGCCTTCATCGAGTTTCACGTGCTCTGCAAACTTTGCGATGGCTCAGAGGAAGAGGGTGAAGTTGAAGTGGAATCGTGCTTGTTCTTGTTCAGCCCAGTGCTGTGGCATCGAGCCCAGTGTCGCGCACAGCTCCAGATCTAAGCCTTTTAGCAGGGAGGCGCGGCGTTATAAGGAGCACGAATAGATTTCAATGACTCTTTCTCAGTATCTCGACCGCCGACCGTTCAATTTCCAGCTCCTCGGCGTCCTCTTTTGGCGGCATTCTCTGTACATGCTTATTCGAAGCATTGGAATTCTGAGAAGTACGCAGCAGGCAGCTCGGGCCGTTTCGTGAAGCATTGACTCTTGACGCGTTTGCAGAGCCCCACTCAAGTCGCAGTATAAAACGCGCTTTCTCCCACCCTTCGGCTTTCTTTTTCCTTTCCACACCATCTGCACCCACACACGACATACCCAACTTTCGCGGCACCAGTGCCACACCAGTTCTTCTGCGAGCGAGGTTAGCAGAACATGAGCCAGAAGCCTCTGGCGCCAGATCGGTCAGTTCTTAAGACTTCCTCGAGTCTGCGGCAGACCATGGGACCGTGGCGACCTCTCCTGTCAGAGTCCGAGACTCGTCACCCAATGAAGGGGGCAGTGAAGTCGTTGCGGTAAAGCGGGGCAATGATTCTTACGCCGGGATGCAGCGCTTAATTCCTCCCCGGCATGCTGGAATAGTGAAGGCATCCCCATGGGCTCTGGGACCCTCTTTGTCCTGCGCCAGATCTTGCCAGAGGCTTCAGCCATGCTGGTACGCTGACCGCATGCATTTGATAAAACTGTGGAGGCGCAGGATGGCTTTTCGTATGTATGCCCAGCCCTTTGGATTACTGACAAAGTGTAGGCCATCAGCTGCTGGGCACAAATGCTTGGTACTGGAGGCCGTCAATACGCTTCGAGAGCATCACAAAGTGCAAGCCCGTATGATCTTGACAAGTCGCTATTATCGAGACATCACGACACTCCATTGACCGGTATATCGATGTCCTTTGAGATTCGTCGGATGGAAGCCGTCTGTGTGCCTCGACGCTGCGTCACATGTGCATGCATGGCTGCAATAGCATTGTAGAACATCAAAGCTTCCAGGCAGATCATGCAAGCCAGAAGTTTTCGAGCGTGAGCATGAGCTTGAGCGTGAGCGCTGATAGCGAACACAATGGAACCTAATGTGAAAGCTGAAGTGAGGTCGGGAGAGAACACAACCTTGAAATGGCGCGCACTCCACAATCGCATGGACCAAGCTCCGACTCGGCAATCTGGGGCAGGTACGTACAGCTCACGTTGATCACAAACACCTTCTAGAAACTTACGATACGACCGAGTCACCTTCAAACATCGAGACTACACCACAAACATGGCAGCAAGACTACCGCGCACTCTACGCGCACTCCCACGACCCGCGATCACTTCCCCCGCCCAGACACTCGCCTTACGACGAAGCTTCCAAACGAGTCGAAAACTGCTAGCCGACACCGTAATCCCACCCAAGAAACCCATCGGAGCATTCCGCGGATCGTGAGTTGAAAAAGGAAAACCCGAAGATGGACAAGAAGGTCGCAGTGTTGTTGATACGAGATTCAGATTATTCGGTTTCCTGCTGGGAACTGTGCTTGCAGGAAGCGGAATGTATTACTACGTGGTGGACGAGTACAAGGTTTCGAATGAGCTGTTGAATGAGGATATCTATGTGAGGAAGAGCGAGAGGAGATGGGTATTGGAGGAGGAAGATGGCTGACGTGAGACTAATAGGCTTTACAATCTGCGGTGACGAGGTTAGAGGGATATGTCAAGGCTCTTGAGGTTGAGGTTAAGGGGTCGAAGAAGTAGAGCTGCGGCGATGACGTTCAGGACAGCGAGCTCTTGGAGCCGTGAGAGATGGAACCGAACAAGGACGGAGTGGATGTCGGACGGTGGCCCGGACGTTGAGACTCTTCACTCTGCATTGAGGAACTTGGTGGCACGATCGTGTCAGAAACAGTCTGATGCGGGTATCAGCTCCTCTCTTTCGAGCCTCGTTTCCTAGGTCTTGTACAACATGATCACTATATACCCCCAAATGTCGCGTTGCTTCTGCGCAATGCGTAGCGTACTCGGCCGTCAAATCCAAAGATCTACGCTGTCTCGTGCAAGCAGATATATGTCAAATCCCTATATGCTCCCACAACGCCGGCCTGCTAGTCCCAATCCATCTGCATCTGAGCAAGAATCGATAGCTACAAATTTCGAACATGGCTTCTGCCACTACGATATGGTCTGCTTGACCTGGGCCTTTGCTTGCTCGACTTTCTCTGCTGCGATCTTGGCGAGCTTGTCCAGCTGTTCTTGTCGTGCTTTCCGCACGGCTCGGAAGAGCAGGACAAACATAAGCTCGACGCGTTCCTTGGTCATCATCAAGATACCTTGCACCAAGAATCCCTTGAGAAGTTGTGGCGCGACACCCTTCCAGAGTCCGAGAATACCGTCTCGCTCGACGATGAAAGCCATGACCTCGGTAAATGACTTGAAAGGCTTGCCCATCCTCTGTGGCGGTGGCTTTGATTGCAGGCCGACTTTGGCGATAATCAATGGCTGTGTCACAATGGTCGCAATCATCTTCGAGAGTGCTCCGAGGGCTACAAGATCTGTCAGCATATCCATTCCTGAACTTGGAGCCCGTCTTCACTCACCAAATGCCTCATGAGGCGCCAATCGCGTCTTATTTGGGAAGACCACGGCGTGTAATCTCTCATATGCACCATACGTGATGGATGGGTTAACCACCAAGACCATGCTAGCACTCAGACCCCTCCACAGGCCAGCCACACCGTCAGGTCCGTCAATCACTTCCTTCGCAGTCTCCATTATACCCTTCTTCTCGCTCTTCTTCTGCGTTTGCTGTCTCGTAGTCACAACACTGATTGGGATGGTGAACAATTGCGCCAATGCGCCGGCAATAGCCCCCAACGTCAACTCCACAGGCGTGCTCGCGACCTTCCTGCTCTTGGCAATCTTGTCATGGTAAAGCTCTCGTACAAGTCCATACCAGTAGAAATATGCGAAGTTTGTGCTGACGACACCGAGCAGGTTTCCACCAAGGCCATTGAAAAGTCCCGAAACACCTTCCTCTTGAATGATGTGCTGAATTGCGTGAAGTGTGCCTTCATAGTGTACCTCGCTCGGATCTGCGGCGTAGGTATCTGTTTTGCTTCTCTTGACTTGTGTTTGTAATCTCGTCTTGACGAGATCGAGCGGGTAGACGAGCGAGTTGGCAACCAGAGCTCCTGCTGAACCGGCAAGAGCCAGGCCCCAAGCAGGCATCTCTTCTTTCGAAGGTGCGGGTGCCATTATTGGCAATGTCTATATTATACGATCCTGATCTCCGAGGTCGAGGCCGAGGCCAGTGGTGGGGCGGTGAGGAAAGTAGTCGGATTATCGTTGTGGTATCATATGGGAAAGTGTAGAACTCGTGATCGCTGTATTGTACAAAGATCTTATTCTTCTGGATACTGGTAAACAAAAGTAACAAAGGACAAGGCCGAGCGAGATGATGCTGGCCCAGTTGCAGCCTTCATCATGCTGCCGTTCTGAGGGCCGAGGTTGGAGCATATCGGTCCAGCTACTTTTTCGGCGATAAATCGCTGGGATTGCCGCGAGCACGGTGCACAGAATGGCTGGGATCGCACGGCCGTATCGGCAGCAATTCCGTTCACTCGAAATTCCGACGACGACCACATCACGTTGTGCCTTTCACTTCATCCCTTCAGTCTTTGTGATCCGGCGACACCGACAAACCAGGCATGAGATAGCCCACACAGCTACAATCTCCTTGACTTTCTCCCCACCGAAAACCATTTTGTGAAACGAGTTGAAGAGAAGCAGTTGCAGCGTATGCACTGAGGGACAGACAGACGTCTACCCAAAAGTCTGCTACTCACCGAACGTTCCCCCGAGATCTTGCAAGCGCAGTCAGTGCTGTAAATAGTAAGACTGGACCTTCACCTCCCACTGAATCAATAATACAGCGCCTGCTGCCACCACTCACACCTCGAATTCGCAGAATCATCAACCACCTGCGTAACTCCCGTAACATTCAGCACATTCATACTCGCATTCCTTCCAAAAACCGGGAAACTCGGGACTCCAGGTCCATTCGGGTCGCCAGTCATCGCAAAATTTGTGATATACTCCTGCAAAACAATCGCAGTGTCGGGCGAAGTGAGGCTTTCACCATTATAGAACGTGTAAGCGATGTCATTTCCATGCAGAGCGGGTGGAACAGCGAATTGATAGGAGTGGGTGCGGTTTTGGTAAGCCTTGTCGAGGAAAAAGGTGTTACAAGTGAAAACAGCTTCCGAAAGCGCGTTTGAGATGCGAGCGATTTGGTCGGGGTAGTTGGAGCTTGGGTAGAGGACGTTTCCCAGGTACTTTGCGATTTGGGGGAAGCTGGGGAGGGTTGGAAGGAAGATTTGCAGCTGGGCGTAATAGGTGGTGTCGTTTTGACTGTAGGGTGATGTGAAGAGGAGGCCTTCGTCGGCGTTGTGGCCGACCATGACGTTTACGTCTTTGGCGAACTGGCCTTTGGCCAGGAGCTGGCCTGGGAGCTGTGGGGTGAAGATGCCGTCGACAACGGGACCGTAGGTGAATTGTCCGTATGATGATGTGCCGACTTGGATGATGTTTGCGGTCTGGAGGGTCTCGTATGGAAGTTTCCGAGCTTCCTCGATCGTGGACACGTTCAGAAGTTTCAGATAGGCGTTGTAGACTTTTTCTTGCTCAACAGTGCTGACGTATGGTTGGAAGCCTGGACTTTGTAGGATTGCTTGCTGGAAAGCAATTGGCTTCTGGCCTCCGAATGCTGTGATCTGATGCATGATAGAGCCACCACCTGCAGACTCTCCGATCAATGTGATTCTGTTCGGGTCGCCTGTGTTTACAATATTGTCAGCATTACTCATTCCCGATCAGGAAATTTCATGGCACTTGCCTCCAAACTTTTTGATGTTCTGCTTGACCCACTCGATGGCCAGCCTCTGGTCGTAAAAAGCGGCATTTGCGGTGCCATTTTGTTGAAACGTAGGGCCTGAAAGCCAACCGAAAGCGCCAAGTCTGTAGTTCAAAGCAACATACTGCGTCACAGTTAGCGACAACATCGGCCCTGAATCTGTATGATTCCCCTCACAATGATGCCCGAGTTGCCATTATCCTGGCTTCTCGCAATCAATCCAGCAGGATTACCAGTACTGCCTTTATCTCCACCAGTGTATCCACCTCCGTATATCCACACCAAGACAGGAGCACCCTCGTTCTTGTTTTCATTTCTCTTGTCAAATATGTTCTTGGGCACGTGAACATCGAGGAACAAGCAATCTTCTGTTGTTCTGGGATCTTGTGCTGGCAGTGCACCACTCCCAGAACTGCTCGTATTGAAATCTGAAGGGCTGAAATTTGTCTTGCCCTGCAAGTATTGAGGAATGAATTCTGAGGCAAGCAGGAGCCAAGCAGGGCTAGCTTGAGGACATATTCGTCCAATTTCGCCAGTCCGAATGACAGATCGGTCCTTCAATGGAGGTTGGGGAGCGCGAAATCTTAGATCGCCCGTTGGAGGTTGGGCATAGCGAATGTTGGAGAAGTTGTAGTATTGGCCTGTTTCGTTGAACACGGTGGCTCGTTGCACGACGTATCCCAGGTCGATTGTGGGAAGTTGAGTCGTGCGCTGTGTGAGTTCGGTAGCAGGTCGTGCGGAGACTGTGGTCAAAGAAAAGAGAAGTGTGACAGCATGGAGTGATGACAGCATCTTTCTTGATTTCCTCAGATTGGCCTTGGAGAGGAAAGACGAAAAGGGAAAAGAAGCTCAAGAGTGCACTACAGTGACTACACGTCCATTGATTGAACAGAGTCCGAAGATGTAGTTAGAGGCGTGGAGGGAAGAAGACCGCAATACCTACCAATCAAGCGAGCAGTCTTTGCTTCTTGTACTCGATCTTGACCTTCCTCCAGCGCATGCGATGATGATTGATGCATAAGCACCGGCTCGTAGTCCAGAAGAGGCAAGTACGTTCGCCTAGAGCTGAGACAGGATCCGAAATATGCATGGGTTGGAGGCGGTCGGTCTTCGCAGCAGGATGCATGCACAACGTTGGCCAAGTCGAGTCAACGGCATTCTTGTCAGCGTGCCACGCGGTAGACGCAAGACATCTTGGCTTCTGGATTCTGGAATAACGATGTGCAACATGATTATAATTAAGCTTGTGCAACAACGTGGCAATGGGATGGGCATGCTTGATACGTAGCTCTACAGCAACCCGGCTGGAGGCGAAAGCGTTTTGGGCATCATGTGCGATGATGCGGTCTCGCGGTGAGGAGCCGGTGGAGATGCCGAAGGATTGGAGATGACTTTCAGCCTTTCAGGCACAAACTCTTCGGGCATCGCTATCGCAGTCAGCGAGATCAGTCAGGTAACAACTGCACTGTCTTACTGCTCGACATTATTGCACTTTTCCAGGGCTTTCTAAAGCATCAATCAATACAGTATGTACAGTACATAATCTGCTCGATGATATTTGCCGACTCGCTCGTGCCGCTCGTGGTCTGCAGGCATCATATCCGGCCGAGGTTCCCGAGTCGCTCCATCATCTCCACACGCTCCTATCGGCCTATCAAACAAGCGTGCGCAGAACAACAGGGTAACGGTATTAATATTGTCGGGCTCGTACCTCAAACGACAAAACGCGCCGCTCCTATGCAGGATGCCAGGTTTACCTGATACAGTGTGCCGCAAAGCAGAAGTCATCCCGATCGCCGCTAATACCCAGTGACAAACACATACAATTTCTCTGTCTTCAATTTTTCGCACAAGGCTCCGGATGTGCTGTGTCACCCCGTCTACCATGCTGTCCCCAAAGGCCGTGCGTCATAAGCTCTATAGTATTACAACGACATTACATGACATACATAAGATTGGTGTCTGCGAGACATGTCAGCAAGGCTGTGTTGCGCATGCCAAGGTGGCGGAGCAGTGCACATGAAACATACCAAGAGGATGGCTACAGCTCAGCTGTGGCTTTTGAGAATACTTGCCCTCCAGGTTGTCGCGAATGCTGTTGAGCAATTGGACGTAGCTCTGCTGAGGGTTCTTCTTGAGTGCGTTGATAAAGGCCCAAGACATCGCTCCAGTAGCTTCGCCATCGATATTGGCGTCTTGCCTGTGCACAAAAATAGGTTAGCCTACGTCTTTGCAGTCGCGTGCGCGTGATGCTTCTGCGACGTTGTGGTGTTCCGCGCTGTCTGTGAGTCGATAGTGCCAACGCAACTCAAAGTCCCTCCGCCATGAGGCAGCCTGGTAAGGCTCCTCAAGGCAGAGAGACTGAGAATTTTTTTTGTTGAACACTATCTCATCATCAAACGACTCGCATGAATGCAGCAGAGCTCCTCCAACGCCACGCTGAAATGCAGCAATCAATCAAAGCCCTTCAGAAATGGTTCCACATGGGAACGCCTTCACAAGGACTGTGATGTCCGATACTGGGCATAAACATGGGCTCGTCGGCAAAATGGGGATCAACATACGATGTCTGGGTGTCCTTGCTTCCACTCCACATGATGACATCTGCCGGAGATGTCTTTGTTCGCAGGTTGCGTTCATAGGTATCGCTACCACTAGTAGCTTTCTTAAAGAATCCAAGCGCGGTAGAAGCCATGCCGCCAATGTCTCCTCTTGCATAAGACGATACAATGCCAAGCAAGCCTTGACCGGCCTCTTTGGCGAGATTTGGTTCTTTGAGCACACCTTGCGTGGAGTAGATGTATGGTAGATCGAGTGCTGAACCCGAATGGCAGGAATCGAAGATTGCCGTCAGGCGCACACCGGGCTGGAGAGATTGCACCCTACCAATATTAGCTTTATCCCACTTTTTAGTCATGGTAGACTCACATAATACGATGCATCTCGTCGTCCACAATGTGTCCAGCTTGTCTGAAATCCACGGGATAAATGACCTCATCATATCCATCTTCCTCATCACCGTCCAGATCCTTAGTCTGACCACCGTGCCCCGAGTAGTGGAAGAAGAGTGAATCGTTGGGCCTGGCATCCTTGACCAGCCAATGCATCGCTCTCAGGATGTTTGCCTTGGTAGGCTGGCTCATGGGGTTCTGCTGGTCATCTGTGAGCGTGACCATGTCTTCTCGCTTGTACCCGAAATACTCGTTCAAGTATGTTGACATGTTCTTGACGTCGTTTATGCATCCTCGCAGCTGTCCTCGTTGTCCGAAGTAGTTGATGCCTATGAGCAGTGCTTTTCTCCTGCCTGTGCAATTCGAGTACTGGAAAGTGTATCCGCTCGGCGCGCCGTGTCCGAATTGCTGTGTCTGCTGCGGAGGAGGTGGAGGTCTGCCGTAGTCTGGGCGATGTGTCAGCAAAAGCTACGAAAGCCAACCGGTTCACACTTACTGCCTTGTGGTGGTCCTGGCGGCGGTCTGTTATACTGCTGAGGCGGCGGAGCTCCATATCCTTGCGGAGGAGGGGTTTGCTGATATCCATTTCCGAATTGTGGTGGTTGAGGCGACGGTGCGCCGTATCCAGCGCCATACTGTGGAGCGGGCGGAGGAGTGCCATATCCATATTGGGGAGCTGGAGGGCCATACTGCTGAGGAGGGGGATATCCGTTGAAGCCGTGCTGTTGAGGCGGCGGATAGCCCTGCTGGTTGTGGTAACCTTGGCCTGGATAGTACGACATGGCTGGCGGAAAGTGCGCTCAGGTGTTGAAGAGAGTGTGTGTGGGAGTTGTTCAGGTTGAAGTGCTCGGCTGAGTCGGCACTGCGCCAACCTGCTGACGCGCCGAGAATGTTTCACAGTGGCGAGGATGGCAGTATTTATCCTCGTGTGGAGCCAGGGACTCGAGGGAGGGGTTCTGTGGAGTAGGTAGGTCGAGGCGGTATCGATACCCGATCTATCTTGAGACTGCGTATGAGTATGAGTGTGAGTGTGTGCGTGCTGCGGCGGGCGGCTGAGCAGAAGTCAAAGTCAACAGGTCGGCCTGTGCCTGTGACGATGCTGTGTGCGGTGCGGTATACGCCAGGACCAGCGGGAAGCGAAGCGATGGGCGGTCACCGTGTAGACTTGGTGACTTTCCTCCAAGGATTCCTCAGGCTTCGTGACGCGCCAGCGCCAACAAATGCATACACTCTTAGGTAGAGACAGAATTTTGTGTCAAGGCTTGTTGGTCAACGCCTCGCCTCGCCTCGCCTCGCATGCTGTCGAGCCGCTCGGCCTTCTTGGCGCGTCGAGGGGTAAAACTACATACAAGTCCGAATGTCCCGTCCCGTCCCGTTCTTCGCCATGGCTCCTTTCTCGAAACATCAGGTCCATCTTCTACTCTCATCAGATCCACCTTGCCAATTCGGCGGCCAATTCTGCAATCACAGCCAGTATTGATTCATCTTGCTAGAAGCTGCCGGTAGCATGGATCATTTTCTTGACGGTCGCTCCGAAGCCACAGCATGCAGTCTACAGTCTAGTCGACCGCCGCCGCATTATGCAGCCTTGCGACCAATAGGACATCACAATTTAAGCCTGGTCTGATACTGCCAGACAGACCCGAACTTCTTCATTCGACGCTTCGAGCATACCACGTGCATCTCTGCTCCGATGTAAGCTTCTGCCAGCAGGACTATGCCACATGCGTCTAGATACGTTCTTCAGGTACATAGCCGGCATGCCTGCTCATCAACGTGGAAGCCACAGAGGAGCCTGCCAGAGGCGTTTTCGTGGCTGGCTGGCCACAGCTTCAACAATGAAGCACCAATTGGACCCGTGCGCGCACAATCAACTCACAGCGGTGTGCTTTGCATCGAGCATCATCTCACTCTTCACCTGCATCTGCGTTGTCAAAGCCACTCACGCCACAACCATGCCATGCCATGAGGAGCAATCGCGGTATCCGCGTGGCACAGTGTTTACTGGCAGTGCATGTTCAGGGAATGACAGAACGAATCTTGAAAGGAGGTGGTGATGCGCTACATCACCCATGTCACCAACTCATCTCTCTTTGGGAACCCGTTCGCCCAGAATTGGACTCCCGCTGAGCGTCACAGTTGCATTTGTAACAGGTGCAAAATCCAGGACTCCATTCACTACACCCATGCTACTAGCCACTATCTGCTCTCGAGCAGCAAGATCTCACGATGGTCCTGAACTCTTCGCGCGACAGGGATTCGAGTAACAAATGGTAAAGCTCAGAAATTGATCCTGCCGCTCTGACGGGATTCGTTTGGAGCTTGCAGCTATAGCTCTGTGGGTCGGCATCTAAGAAGCACTGACATGATCGCACTGACTACATGCCAAATGATTCCTCCGATAGCTGCAACGAATCAGGCACCGATGAACACAGCTCCTGCAGTCACCTAAATTTCGAAATGATGCTAACGAAGCCACGCCAAGTCACGGTAGCTTCGACGCAGGTGACTATGCATGCAATATCGAACTTTCTACTTCAGCCCTGCGAACAATAGCAGACTAGCGCTCCTGTGAACAGCCATCATTGAGGTTAGGCATAGCTCGGCACGAGCGACGGACATAGTCCAGGCCCATCTGTACCTGGCAAGGCTGACCATCATCCTCAATCCAGCAATCAGATACAGGCGATTGTCCAAAGATTTTAGTGTACCACTCTTCTGGGCTGCAGCCACCAAAGTTTGCTGGCAGAGTCCCGATATAGTGGTATAACCTGTTCTAGATTAGAATGGCCTTAGCTAAGGTAACGATTAGGGTTAAGAAGGAGGGTGTTCTTAGTGCGACAGCTTGCCTAATTAGTCGACTAGCAGTCGACTAGATAGATAGGGGTTAACTCTAATATTAATACGTATTACTAGCACTATAGGCCTATATATAGTCGCTGTTTTAACGTTGCTATTACTATTGCTATCGCTATATTAACTTGACGTTACTATTACTATTGCTATCGCTATATTAACTCTACCTATTATTACTATCGCTATATTATCTCTACCTCTTACTACTATTACTATATTAATTAGAAGTCCTTCTCTTACCCTTTATCTTACGTATCGCGTCGTCGTTGTCTATCTAGTTATATTTAGAAGCTACTATTCGCTCTAATCCGAGGTTTATAACTCTAGAAGGTCTTTAAGGCGTTATAAGGTCGATAAAGGACGTATTCGACGCTCGAGGCGTATCGCTAGTTAAATCTACCTTTTTAACTAAGTCGATATCTATAGGCTATACCGACTATATATTTAGCAACAACTCGCAACGTAGCGGCGGCTCGAAGTAAAAGCGCGTAAGTAACGATAATAGAGCCTAATTAGTACGCTATTATCGCTATCGCGGCGGCCGCGCTATAGCTAGCGCTCGGAAGGTTATTATTATCGATCGAGTTAGAGTCGTCGGCTGCGCTAGAAGGTATAAGGTCTACTACCGCAGCCGCTTACTTATAAAAGTAACCTTAGGGGCGCCGCTCTCGTAGTAATTAGTAATGGAGTAGTTAGTAAGGCTATATAGCGTATCCTTAACCTTACGAAGGAAGCCGCGTATATAGCTATCGCGTACTACTAGATTAACGGTCTTATTATCGCGAATATAATAGAAGTATTAAAATAGGCCCTCGGCGGCCTTATTATAGTGCGACCTTAAATTACGAAGATATAGATCTTTTATAGTCTATAGCTTCCGCGTATCTTCGTAGCCTTCTAGCTATAACTAATCGCTATCTCGCTGCTTTTAATATAGGCTTATCTTTATAGAATTAAAGCTAGTATACTAATTAACGTATACCTGTTATTGCTAGAGTGTTAATAGCGTAACAAACAGGTAGAACCTAAGGATATAGTAATAAGGTAGGTAGGTTTAAAACTACGGAAGGCAGTTATAGTAAGCCGGAGCCGGCTCCTGTCTATTATATAGCACAAGGCTATAGTAGGTTAGTAGGCCCTTTGCCTTATACTCTTCTACGATTAATAGCTGCTTTCTAACAAGGTCCTAAGCCGCTAGAGGTTAAAGCCGCTCGAAGAATAGTATCTCTTTAACCTTCTAGAAGTTAGTAGATTTTCTAACCCGGTATAATTAAAGGTCTGCCTTCTATAACAATCGAGCGTTAATTGTTATTAGCTCGACTATAGTGCTATATATAGACAGCTAGACTATCTCTTTCCTCTTATCGTATTTAATAGCATTGTAATAGCCTTCGAGAGGCGATGTTATCCGGACCTATATTAAAAGAGGGCTTCCTAGCCGTACCTAAGTCGCCTATAGATACGACTTCTTACGCTAGTTATTAAGGAGGTATTGTACCTGTTTATCCGAGGCGTATTTGTCTCTTAATTCCTATACGATTCTATCGATAGTATCGATAACTTCTACGTTACTACGGGCGTAGTAAATCGTATAGGAAAACAGCCGCTAAACCTATAGATACTACTTCTCGGGGAAGTGTCGTAGGAAGGTCTCTTTAGCGTATCGTTAATAGAGATATATAGTTATAGCCTCCTCTTTAAATGCTAGTCGAATAGCGCGTTGTTCTTAAGCCGAGTCGTTAGTTATAGCTACTATAGGCTTCTAGCCGGGTACCTATTTCTTTAATACTTAAAGCCTAGCCTTAATTAGCTTTGCTCGCTAGCTCTATAGCAATATATGCCCCTCTAGTATCTAGGAGCCGAAGGCATTACGGATATAGACTATAAATAGGTAGAAGTTATTATCGGACGTTTTATAGGTCGCATCGAAGAGAAATAACTATATATAGACAGTTAGTCGTTACTATCGAAATTTGTGTATTAGGAAGAAAGCCGGAAAGCTAATACCTAAGGCACTACTAGCTCCGAAGAAATAGGAACCTATATTACTAGCAATACTACTATTTAGCAACTTACGCTACTAGTCGGCCCGCTATATAACACCCTTATACTAGAATGCCTCTATACGAATAGAGAGAGCCTTATAGGAAAGTCCTACGTCTATAATATCGTCTATAAGAGGGCCGAGATAACGATTAAGGTTGTCTAGCTATAATCGAATATTGCCCTTCTTAGTTAGGAACACCCTCTTTATATTCTTCTTTATAGACTACTTTATAATACCTTTCTTTGTATAGTACGCTCTAATAATAGCAAGACGACCTATATTAGTACCCTTCTGTTAGGACTAAAGAGGTTATACGTAATTAGTATATAACTAGGCTCGAGTAAAGCTAGGGTCTTAATGCCTTAGGTAGGGCTTAGCGCTTAGCGTTAGGCTAACTAGCCTACCTTCCTCCCTCTCCTCTTAGATCTCTATCGAATACTACCTGTACCCACTACTACCCTATCTACCTGCTAATATAACCCTTCTTATATAGTATTCAATCTACCCTTTAAGGGCAGTAGCTAGATAGTCCTTATTTTAAGCTTTTAGCGGTATAGCTACGAAAACTATCGATTTAACTATATTACGCTTAAAGAACGGGACCTATACGTACTATTCTATTAAAACAACCGTACTAATTATCAAGCAAGGCCTTCTATACGGCCTATTATACTAAATTAATCGCACTAAGCCAATATCTACTAATTCCGCTACATCCGTATCTTAGGGGCCTATAATATATTATCGGTGCTACCCCTTATTATAATAGCCGGCTTATTACGAAACAATAACCGTACTGCCGCTAGTAGCGCTAGCAACGACAACGCTAGTAGTATAGTGCCTGCTAAAGTGCCTACTAAAGTGCCTCCTACTAAGGTACCTACTAAGGAGCCTACTAGAGGGCCTACTAAAGAACCTATAATCGAAGGGGATAACCTATCGTTGCCCGTTAACGATATTCTTAGCAATATTGTTAACCGTCGATATAGCTAACTAGCCTTCGGGCCCTAGCTAGTAGCGAGACTTTAAGAAGCTACCTAAAACAGGCTCGCTACCTTGCGTTAGAAACAATAGCTAAAGGATAATCTCCTCGAGATTCGCCGCCTATAGGAAGCCCTAACAACTACTACTAAACCGGAACTAGTAGTAGGACCTTCCGTATAGAAGAAGGATACGAAGCTTAAGGATTGTACTATATTTAATAGCTCTAGTCGAAAGTAGTATAACGACTATATTCGTAACTATAAACTTAACTAGCGTAACGCACTAAGAGCGCTACTAGACGACTACTCCCTAGTTGTTTATACTATATAGTATATCAATAGT